TGCTATCTTCACACCCCTAGGTTGGAGATTACATGGGACGTTTTCTCCTCCCCACCCTCCTGCTGCTCCTACTTATTTCGGTGCACAATCTTTTTAGGTCAGAGTGTGCCATCTACACATTGTCCACTTATCAGATTATTGGATTCCAGTGCAGGCTTCATTCTGTAACAAGTTAGTATATTGTGTGTATCTATCTGTCTGTCTGTCTGTCTATCCCATGTCTCTATTTAATAGAAATTGATCGCATGCATGTATACGGGCCATTTCTAGATTTAGAGATTGGAGTGCCTGCTATTGAACTAGACCGCTTTAGGTATTAGAATTTAATTTTCTGAATTATAATTATCACATAGAGTATCAGCAAAAAGACAGCCAGGTACATCTGGGACAAGATATGGGCCAGGCAGTGGTTTTAACCATAAATGTAATAATGCTGTAGTAGACCGTATCCGTTTTTAAAAATGTTTTCTTTGTTATGTACCATTAAATGAATGGTATCTGGGGAGGACTGTAATATATTTTAGATATATATATTTAGAATCATATTGTAATAGTACATTGGGGAGGTTGAGAACCCTATTGGCAAAGTCCTCTATAATCAGTGTTTCCCAACCCAGTCCTCATGGACCACCAGCAGTTCAGGTTTTGTTAGTATTACCATTGGAATAAAACAGGGAAATACATAAATATGCCTGTTGGTGGTCCACGAGGACTGGGTTGGGGAACACTGCTCTATATTATGAAAGCAATTTATTGACTGTTGATTGATTGTTGGATGGCCATCAATCTTGCATGAGGGACTTCGCATTCTTCTTTTCAGCACACAACAGTTACTCTAGACTGGAATAATGCTTTACCCAACACCATCGCCACGACTTTGCCTCTATGACGTGGTCAGATTGACACTGGTACTTCTGCTCAGTCAACCTTTGGGATGGCGATTGAACAATAATTTCTTTTTAGACCATAAATTGGTTCAGGAAATCATGTCTGCAAAGGTCCTCCTCCATAATATTGTAGTAAGTCCATTGAGCTGTTATTATGGATCATTTTATAAATATAGGACATTTTGACTGCCTTAGAAACAGAAAAGCCAGGTTCCAATGCCAGATTACCTCACCAGTAAGTGTCCTTGGGCAAGACCTCTAATAATATATATCCACCTACTTTAAATTCTCATAGATTGTAAGCTTGTACGAAAAGGGCCCTCATCAATTACTTGGTGTCAGATCCCCTTTTTATAATTGTAATGCGCTGCGGCATATGTTGACACTGTATAAAAAAATAATAGTTATTCTTTATTTTCTCTGTGTGTCAATGTATTCTTTGACAATTTAATTGCTTTTTATTTGCTTAAGTTAAGAATAGCCTTATCATATGCCCTGGGAAAGATATCCCTAGACAAAGAGCAGTTAGTGAAAAGAGCCAGCTGTCAAAACGGTGACTTTATCCAAGATCTCGTATACAAAGTGGACTACATCATTGCTCTACTCCAACAAGGAGTCTTTTCTCCTGAAAGCTCCGCAGTGTTGTCACATTAAATGCATCATTAATGTATCTTAGCCAAGCTAGCGCATACCGTATTTATTGAACAATTAAAATCTGTGCACAAAAGCATCCTTTGGAAGCTGCATAAGTAAGCTGACATGTGATAGGGCCATAGTCAACTCAATCACATTCCCTTGTACCTAGAAAAATATATTTTTTTTTAAATGCAAAGTAGTTAATGTGAATCCATTCCAACAACCAACTACAACCAGACCCCAAAACTAGATAGACTCCTTGCAAACAGGGGCATTGGTAGAGGGGGCTAATAGGTGCATGAGTTTTCAGACTTTGGAATCCTTTAATTGTTAGCCCAAGTCTCCTGTGATATATATAGAGAAATAATAAGGTGTAATACAACATTGGGCGGGGTTCATAAATGTAGTTTTATATAATAATCTGTATTCATTCAGAGGTGTTATGTCTCAATGTGGCTAATAGAACATGTGGTGGTCCATAGTGTGTGTGTAGTATAAGGGAGGGTTTTGGTAGGGCCTTAATTTACCCTTAGGATAAAGACTGGGTCTTACTTACTTTCCTGAACTAGAAGATTACAGGCTGCTCTAGTCCCAGTGTAGTAAAATACATTATTTTCTTTGTTTATTCCCACTAATGTTGGGGTGAGGTTTGCATATCCTTAGCTACTTTTCATATTGACCAGATGCTTTGTAGTGCATTCATAGTTTTGTTTTACATAATAAATTGTGACTTTTGTGGAATCACTATTGATACACAGAACGCTTGGATTGCCGTAGCTATGCTGATTTTGTGATCTTCCACTGAACGGTGATGAAAATGAATGAATGGATTAAAAATGCCGTAATGGCAATTTCTGAAAGTTACTGCCGGAGTGTGATAGCCGTACATTTTTGTGAAAAAAGAGCTGCCAATACCCTGTTTTCATATATTTTTGCTTTACATATGACGCAATACCTGGGGGAGAAGGATGATTCAGGCACCATAAGTTCACCAATACAAAACCGCTTATTGTTTCCAATCAGAGAGGAATAAAATAATCTACTTTATATGTTTTTGTATCACAATGCAATGATTTGTACGTGAACATAACGTAACTCAGCCTTGCCAAATAATGTCATTTTAACTTGACCGTTCATTCTTTCACCACATGTGTAACAAATATAATATTCTTGATATCCTTAAGGTCAAAATAATCTTTTGTTACAGAGATATTTGCAGAATGTTGTGCTGGACAAGTTCCTTTGGGTACATAATCTGAAGGTTTGCAAATCCTGATTAAAGCGGTGCCATATTTGTTGGGTTGCCACAGTTTGTGTCGCTGTTTTTCTTTAGAAATAAGTGTTACAGTATACTAGCTAGACTATAGCACAGCATTTTGTGTGTTTGTTGTGGTACCAGACATACCTGTCATTATAATGCCACTGGATGCTTACACCATTGTTTCTAAACTAAAGAATAATGCATGCCTTTGCCAAGTCTGGTCTAAACAGTAAACCACAGCCTAATCCATTTAAATCCTAAACTATGTTGTCTAATCCACACTTGGCTGAATAAAATGCCTCTTTTGTTCACACCTACCTTTTCATGACCTATCTACTTGTGATGACAAAAGCAGTGTATCAGCTTTAAGAACACGGCTTCCTGTCAGTATAGAAATCAGTAGTTGGGATAGAACATGGGTTTTGTTAGTATATAAATCAGTAGTTGGGATAGAACATGGGTTTTGTTAGTATAGGTAGTTGGGATAGAACTAGTATATAAATCAGTAGTTTTGATAGAACATGGGTTTTGTTAGTATAGAAATCAGTAGTTGGGATAGAACATGGGTTTTGTTAGTATAGAAATCAATAGTTGGGATAGAACATGGGTTTTGTTAGTATAGAAATCAGTAGTTGGGATAGAACATGGGTTTTGTTAGTATAGAAATCAGTAGTTGGGATAGAACATGGGTTTTGTTAGTATAGAAATCAGTAGTTGGGATAGAACATGGGTTTTGTTAGTATAGAAATCAGTAGTTGGGATAGAACATGGGTTTTGTTAGTATAGAGTAATCAGTAGTTGGGATAGAACATGGGTTTTGTTAGTATATAAATCAGTAGTTGGGATAGAACATGGGTTTTGTTAGTATATAAATCAGTAGTTGGGATAGAACATGGGTTTTGTTAGTATATAAATCAGTAGTTGGGATAGAACATGGGTTTTGTTAGTATATAAATCAGTAGTTGGGATAGAACATGGGTTTTGTTAGTATAGAAATCAGTAGTTGGGATAGAACATGGGTTTTGTTAGTATATAAATCAGTAGTTGGGATAGAACATGGGTTTTGTTAGTATATAAATCAGTAGTTGGGATAGAACATGGGTTTTGTTAGTATATAAATCAGTGGGATAGAACATGGGTTTTGTTAGTATAGAAATCAGTAGTTGGGATAGAACATGTGTTTTGTTAGTATAGAAATCAATAGTTGGGATAGAACATGGGTTTTGTTAGTATAGAAATCAGTAGTTGGGATAGAACATGGGTTTTGTTAGTATAGAAATCAGTAGTTGGGATAGAACATCAGTAGTTGGGATAGAACATGGGTTTTGTTAGTATATAAATCAGTAGTTGGGATAGAACATGGGTTTTGTTAGTATATATCAGTAGTTGGGATAGAACAGTAGTTGGGATAGAACATGGGTTTTGTTAGTATAGAAATCAGTAGTTGGGATAGAACATGGGTTTTGTTAGTATAGAAATCAATAGTTGGGATAGAACATGGGTTTTGTTAGTATAGTAATCAGTAGTTGGGATAGAACATGGGTTTTGTTAGTATATAAATCAGTAGTTGGGATAGAACATGGGTTTTGTTAGTAATCAGTAGTTGGGATAGAACATGGGTTTTGTTAGTATAGTAATCAGTAGTTGGGATAGAACATGGGTTTTGTTAGTATAGAAATCAGTAGTTGGGATAGAACATGGGTTTTGTTAGTATATAAATCAGTAGTTGGGATAGAACATGGGTTTTGTTAGTATATAAATCAGTAGTTGGGATAGAACATGGGTTTTGTAAGCTGTATATGTTCGTGTATATTCACATTTCAATCAAACCAGACTGGGACGTATGTATGTTGACCCTTGCAGGCTACTTATATATAGTCACTTTGGGCAGAAATCACTTTTTTATTTTGTGATCTTGTTCTCCAGTTATATTTCTGATGTCATTGAAGAATACCTACATAAAACGCACATTTCCGGCTTGTATTGATTGAAATCTAACCATGTATTTTTAAGTGTGACCTTACTGATATTGATACCATGTACAATACCTTTCAATATCTCACAATATCTTTACATGACAATATTCTAGATAATGTAAAGGCACCTTTCTTGATAAAACTCATGAACTTCCTTATTGTTTGTGTTTTATTGACCACCTTTAATCTATTTTCATGTCTTTTCAGATAAACAGGTACCAGTAATTGGAGTGTAGCATCATGAGTGACAAGAAATCCAGACATGTTATCTATAAGAAAACATCCCGTGATAAAGCGGTATGGCTCTTACAGTAAATATGAACACGTGGCAATTTATAAAAGAAAAACTATATCTACCAGTTTGATGTAGATGAACAGGACAAGCTGTATCCATATTTTATACATACTGATTTGAGCATGCTGTATGTCGTATATTAGTTGGATTCCATCTATGGTTTTCTTGCAATGCCAAGAAAGATACCACCTAGGAAGAGGTCATAACATAGATCTTGGCTGCTTCTATGACTCCTGTAGATGAAACATGCCACTTCCTATTTAATGTTCTCTTCGAAATTCTACTTTGGCAGAAAATCACAGTTGTTCACCAATTAATAAAATATCAGGAATTCACATAGGGATTGCAAATGGAGGCCAAAATAGCCAAGTTGAAATTCTTTTGAGAATTAAAGTATTTTGTCCTACAATTTGCAGTTCCTGACATATTTCTAACAACTGATGGATTGATAAATAACCTGGAATTGTTTTAAACCTTTAGATTCTGATTAGGTTTATGAAGGTTTTTCTTTTTTTGGTTGAACATTTTTTCTACATTTAATGTAAATGCATTTCAGATCTACTTCTGGATACATGTAATCACTTCTGCACCAGTCTTAATTCCGTCCGCATTATACACAGATGTTCACTTTTGTTCTTCTTTGTCTACACAGGTGAGTGTATACCTGGGTAAACGAGATTATATCGATCACGTTGAATCAGTGGAGCCAGTAGGTGAGTACCAAGTAATGGGCAAATAATTTTTATGATAGTGCCATCACCATAAACGAGAGGGAGCGCTAAAAGTAACTTGCACCCATACTATAAGCTTCTCCAATTAAAGGGAGGGTCCACAGGACAAGTCTGGCTGATCTTTGGAAATCCCTCCTAGCCAGTATGGTAAAGTGACAGAGTATGATTGCCTAATTTGTCTTATGGTAGTGTAGGCCCGACTTGGGGCCCTCTGTGAATTAACCTGCTTCCCCAGGATGCCAAACAAGCATAGCTTCACCATAAAAGGAAAACCAGGTACTTAAGGTACATGCACTATACGAGTGATATTTAATTTGATGGGCATGTCGTATATACATATACATATACATTATGCAGTATAGTGTCAATCAGTGCTAAATGTCACAGGAATAAATATTATTTATAAGCCAATGAAACCTCCTAATACATAGCCTTATATAATAATATACAATAACACTGATGCCAAACAAAAGCCTTATATTTAGCTTCTTAGAAATGATAGCATACATTTTATATTTTTGGTAAACTTTTAAAATGATTTAATATTACATATTAAATCATTTTAAAAGTGTAGTATATATATTAAGTTTAGAATATATATTGTCCAAATATCTCAAGGCATATATTTGCATTGTACAGTTTCATAATGATGTAAGGCTTAAAAAGACACAAGCCCAGCACGTTTAGCCTGTCACATATCTTTTTATCCTAGTGATACAGTTAGGATTATATTTCTTGCCAAGTTCCAATAAGAACATGTCATACCGTAAATGAAACATTTATCTTCTAACATGTAGAAGTACGAAACAGATTTTAAATATGTTGCGTTACACTTCTTTCCTTTAATGTTCATCTTTTTAAAAATGTATGTTATTTTTCATAGATGGTGTTGTTCTAGTGGATCCTGACCTTCTCAAGGGAAAAAAAGGTACATGTTGTAAAAATATTAAAAAGCAAAAAAACAAACTAAATTAAAATTATGCATACAGTCAAATTGATGTTTTGCCTTATTTACCATTATGTTAACCCTGGCATATGGGGTCATTATATGATCAAGTGATACACATTCAGGTCTCAATTTGATAAGCTTTCAAAATAATTCAATACTGTTAGAAACGTTCCAAATGATTTGTGTACTATATTCTAATAGATTTTAATGGTGACTTCTGTAGAGAAATCATTTGGAAAGTTATTCGAACAGTATTGAATCACGTGGAAAGCTTATTAAATTAGGTCCTTAATTGGATAACACCATGTTTAATATATAGCTTTTATATTGTGATGGTGTATTATGTCAAAACAATATTTACTTTGCTTGTAGTCACTGAATTTGCAAAACCTAAACTACACAATTTTGCATGTTCTGCTTATTAAACCTTTTTATTATGTATATATTTTCAGTGTATGTCACTGTGACCTGCGCATTTCGCTATGGTCAAGAAGATATTGATGTCATTGGGCTGACCTTTCGCAAAGACCTCTACTTTGCTCGAACTCAGGTTTATCCACCAATAGAAGACCCCAAAACTATCACCAAGGTCCAGGAGCGGCTAATGAAGAAGCTGGGGAACAATGCCTATCCCTTCTTGATGCAGGTAATGTCTAATTTCACGAGGGGTATACTTACGGAAAAAAAACTTACATTAACAAGCTGTAAGTGTTCTACAATAATGCACAGTGTCTATTAAACCACCGAGCTCCACAGTTTTACAACTAACAGCGATATACCGTTTGCACCAGTATGGTTTCTATTAATTTCAAAATATAGTCATACAGACTACAAACACATTTGGTGTACATTAGAATTTATGAAATACTGCAAGGATACCAATATTAAGGAAACCGTAAAACTTTTTACTAATAAAATCATAAAGATTTAATTACTTATACATTATACCCCCATCGCTGACTCTGTTCTACAAAATAGACCTCACCTAGCTTCCCTTACTGTGCAATGCATAGAATAGAATGTTGGTAGTGGTGGTTTCATAGTCAACTACTAAAATATTAAGAATTAAAATATTTATTAGACACATTCACCATATTCGCTTCCTCCTTCCTTCACAATAGATAATTTGGGAACTCCGTTCCTCCTGCAAATATTGAAGGGGAACTGAGTTTTTCGTGAGTTTCCACTGCTCTAACAGCTCTGACAGAGCTCCATAACAGTACACCCCTTAGTGGACTTTTTCTCTAAATAACTTAGCCAAATCCACGGGGATCAAGTAGTTTCCATAGTCTTGGTAATGGTACATCATCACCAACCTCTGATATTCTAAATAATAAAAGTCCTTGTTTGGCCAATTGGCCATCATATCATATTCCCTGCTATTGAGCTGCAACATTTAATTTAATTTTTTTTTTTACTGCCTTTGAATATACATCTCTTATGCACTGTATGTCTTTTTCAGTTCCCTGATTATCTTCCATGTTCGGTGTCTCTCCAGCCAGCTCCCACAGATGTGGGAAAGGTGAGATTTATCTTTTCACTTGTTTTTGCTTTTTTCTCTATACCTTGAAATCAAGTAGGGTTATAAAATTCTTAAACACTTTTTGCTGTAATAGTGCCTATTGTATGCTCCACGTTGTACAGAAATTGCATACAATAAGGGGTAGGCAAACTTTGGGACTCCAGATGTTGTGGACCAAATCTCTATTAATGCTCTTACAGCTGTAATGCTGGCAAAGTAGATGTAGTCCACATTATCGGGAGTGCCGAAGGTTGTTTACCCCTGCATAGACCTTTGGCTTGACGATTTAGATGTTGGCTCATCCTTGCTCATTCCATGGAAATTTAAACAATGGGAGTCAGACTCTGGATAACATCTTTGTTAGACTTCATTCTCTCTCATTCTATCCACATTTCAAGTAGAACCTTCACTGATAATTGATAAAATAACCCATCATGCACAGCCAGTCCTGCATTGGTTTAAGAATGACACTGAATGTGATAATTGGGCAAGTGCCTGTTGTAGCCTTTGGATAATCACAATGGAAATTCTAAAGCCGATTACAGGCTGGCATGCTTTAAGTGTGGCTATGGAAAGTACAGAAGCCATTTGCCTGACTTAATACTGTTCAATTGCATTTATCTGTTTCTCCCAGGCCTGCGGTGTGGATTTTGAAATCAAAGCTTTTTCTGCAACCAACTTGGAAGAAAGAATTCGCAAAAAGTGAGGACATAAAAGCAACACACTAAATAAGTAATGCCTTCAATGTCCTTTTAAGTTACAGGCTGCAATACATTCTCATTTAAAGTGGTAACACTCTTTCTTAAAAGGAAATTCCATTTCCAAATACAAATATAAATAAGTTAAAATAATAAAATACATCACTATTTAGTAGATATACCTCCAATGAAAACATGCATGCATTAAATTGTGTATTTTTACATTGAGGGTATATGTAAAACAGCTAGCAATAGCTGCAGATCTCTTGTTTGCAGCCTTTACAATCCCTAACCTTCTTCCCCAACCCAGACTTTCTGTGGTTCAATCACAGACTTCCCAATGCAACTTATTGAGAAGTCTTTGCAAGGCAGGTGCTCTGGGCAATTTCAGCCTCTTGAATTTAGCTCCACTGAGCTAAACAACCAGGAAGCATTAGGAACAGTTGTCTGACAGCCATAGGGTATAACAAGGTTAGCTTATAAAAGTGCCAATTTATGTGGAAATCTGCACTTTGTGTAAAATGAAAAAGAGGACACACTCCTCACTTATAAAACATTTCAGCAAGCTAAAGTGCTTGGGGTGTTCCTTTAACATTTTTTTTTACAGGGTCCCAACTTGTAAGCAAGCCATGAGCATCACTTATAAATTTAATAATAATATTAATAATAATGTCAATACATTACATTGGGTCTCCTTTACTTCTACATGCAAATTTGCCCAGTGAGGGAAGATTATCGAACCGGGACCCAATTCTGCATCCTGAGATTAGTTCATTCATTAATTAAAAATGTAAATTAATTAATATATGAAAGTGCATTCTTTTGCATACAAACATGTAAGTACGTGGTTGCTTACCTTGATAGAGTGGGGGTACATTTATTGGTTTTCAAATGAATATGGAAAGAATTTGTAGGAGAGTTATGACAAATGAGCAAATTACAGATCTAATAATTAATGATCCAGGCACACATTATAGATTCATGCACTGAACAAAGCTTGTCTAGGTCCTTAGATTCCCTCAGATATATATTTTTGTATTTCCAGAAATTCTGTCCGTCTGTTGATCCGCAAGATCCAATATGCTCCTGACCAGCCAGGTCCCAGCCCCAGAGCAGAGACATCTTGGCAATTCTTTATGTCTGACAAGCCTCTTCACCTGACTGCAAGTCTGACTAAGGAGGTGAGAGAGTCTCTAAAGTAGTGATGGTCGTGAATGACTTGCAGTTCATTCATAATTGCACACTAATGCATTGGTCCTGTTTCAGGTGTTCTACCATGGAGAACCTATATCAGTGGCTGTCACGGTGACCAACAACTCTGACAAGACAGTCAAGAAAATAGCTGCATCAGGTACTATATGATGTGTACAAGTGTCATTGTTCTATCATCTACATGCAAACAGAAATATTATAAAAAAGAAATGAAATGAATAGGTTTTAAGAGAAATACTAAACTTGTATTGGCTAAAAAGGAGTCTTCAGAGTTTGCAGGCTTCTGGCATAATGTTCTAGAATTCAAAACGGTATTTAGCCTTCTACCTTCCACAATGAAAAGGTGAGCAACACTGACACAGAGAATTCATGTGCAGAACAATGTGCTATAAATTCTCAGTGTACCAGTCTCTGCGATTATCCTACCGTGAGAATATACGGGGTCAAAATCTTTACATAGACCTAAAGAAAAGCATTGTACATAAAGCTGGAGAAACAAATTGATTTTAATATGGTTACATTGTCTCTCATACTTGACATCACAAGGCTCGATGGAGAATTGTCATCCATCAGGAATTTATTACGTTATTCAATTACTTATTATATGAAACATGGGGGGGTGGTTGCACTCACCTGAACATGCTTAAATGGGGTGCTGCTGGGGGCCATATTATACAATAAACAATACACAAGATTCAGCGCACTCTCCTATCTACTAAACAGCAACTTCAATGTTTGCAGATTTTATTAGTTTTTAAAAAAAGTTTTTTCTAAAGGTTTTTTTTTAAAAAAACACCTAATCTAGGCAAAACGTAATGGGGGTTTAGTTACATGATATGATCATACATTGCATAAGCCTGCCACAACGTCAATGTTCGCCACCCAAAGATGGATCTTGTGTATTGTCAATTACTTATTATTGCCCCTGATCCAAGGGATTGTCCTGCTAGATAGGTTGAAACTCTTATAAAGCCTGTCTGGAGATGGATGTGTTTGGCTTGTCAGAGACAATGTCTTTCTTAGGGATTTTTGGAACTGATTATTATTTAACGGATGAGATTTAAGGATGTAACCACAGTTATTAGTACAAATTAAGAAGACCGCACATTTGTAGCAATTATTTTCTTTTGAAGTCTGTAACACTCATTAAGACGTGTTTCTCTCTTCCGTACAGTGGAACAAGTTAGCAATGTGGTGCTGTATTCCAGTGATTATTACGTCAAGACTGTAGCTTTGGATGAATCAGAGTGAGTATTCTTAGTATGAGAAATGGCAATAAATGAATAAACTATGCCCATGTGCCATGTTCTGATTCCATATCTTGACAGAATTTCGTGGATGGTCCTAGATTATAATATATATGAATGATTGATTTTACAATCATTCATATATATTATAATCTAGAACCATCCACACAAGGTTACATCCACGTTGTTGAGCGTCATAACAGTGATGCTATAGAAGAGCTGCATTCTCTTGTGTTAAACTTCACAGCATTTATTTTTAAGTCACAGGTTAAATGTTGTGGCAACCATTAAAAAGCACACAGTCAAAAATGTCAAGCTTTGTAAGAGTAACATAAGTTGTTGTTATGGCATTACATATGGAGGAGCCTTTTATCAAGGTGCTTTCCATAATACCTGCTGGGTTCGATGCTAAGGGTAGTTAGGACTGTTAGTTTAGGCCAGGGGTTCCCAACCCAGTCCTCAAGTACCCCATAACAGCACAGGATTTAGGGATTACTCTGTTTTGTCAGTGTTTTTTTTCTGTCTTTCTGAAAAAAAAAAAAAACCTTAGGCACAACTGGGTAATCCCTAAATCCTGGACTGTTAGGGGGTACTTGAGGACTGCATTGAGAATCACTGGTTTTGGCAGTACCTGCACTGAGGGTGCCGTGGTTACTAAAATCTATCATTCTCAGTCTGGAGATGCTGTGGAGTACAATGGTGAATACAGAAACACCGAATCCCTAGAGGGAATGGACATCCAGAATTGAGCAGGTGAGGAAAAGTTCAAACTAAACTATTTCTTCTGATAATAAAATTGTCAGAACAGCATAGTGACAGTAGCCACTGTACAGAGGGGACCAGAGAACGAGATACATGCATTTTGTGCTTGCAAGGCACTTGCACAGAGACCTTTCGCTTGCATAAATATCTTTCTCTTTACCCCAGTCTGGCTATTGCTTCTTTGCTGCATTGTTAATTTTATGACGAGAAGAAAACAAGCACGGGCTTTTACTTACCTGCTTACCTGAGTCTGGACATCCACACTTGGAGGGTAAAACATAAATGTATTTCGTCTTCATAAATTCTTTACTTATTTTGCACAGCTTTGACTCCTTTACTGAAGTTATTTAAGCATTGCTGTGGAGTACAAAACAAGTAATTATGGCTCCACTCAAGGGTCACTTTCATGATGCTCAACATTTTTCACATTTATCTTTAAAATTCTTGTCCTCTCCTTCTGGTTACACTGAACATGTGTGCTTTCAAAATTAACATCTCTGCCATACTGTAACGGACCGTTTTGCACAAAAGGGGAAAAAAACGTTTAGGCGATAATCCCCTTTCAGAGACAGGCACAGCTACTGTAGAATCACCAAAACTCACGAATTGAATACAAGTGAATGCTCCAAACTCCCGAACGGCATACAAGGGAATGCTCCAAACACTCGAACTGCATACAAGGGAATGGTCCAAACACTCGAACTGCATACAAGTGAATGCTCCAAACTCTCCAACTGCATACAAGTGAATGCTCCAAACTCTCGAACTGCATACAAGTGAATGCTCCAAACTCCCGAACTGCATACAAGTGAATGCTCCAAACTCCCGAACGGCATACAAGGGAATAAGGTAGCACTCCAAATACACGAACAGGAACCATACGAATTGCTGCTAACAGGCGAACAGGAAAAGCTCCCAAGCGGCTTACACTCCTGGCAATCAGTCCTTAGCAGCATACAGTAAATCCCCCCAAGAACGAGACAAAGCTCTGTGTTGAGGGTCAAGCAGTGGTCTGTTTAATGAGGGCTACCTGCCCGGCTTTTATGCAGGTCTCCCACCTGGTGGACACTCCCCTAGGGGACCAAATGGGAGACTGTGACAAGGGACAGACAAGTATACAAAAAGGACACACAGTCACAGTATATTCCCAAAATGCATCCTGGCTTCCTCCCCTCTGCCCTGGGAGATAATTGGGAAGTAACTCAATTATCTCCCAAGTCAAAGGCAAAACTCCATTACACACGTGGGAACACAAAACCAGCATTATACTTTAAAATGCACAAAGTAACATTTACTACATAAAACACAGACATGTAACATATCCCCAGATAGCTCAGGTCTGAGTGCACATTATTAGGTGAATGGCACTCAGACCACACGAATGCAGTTTAATCGCCATGGAGCCAAAGTCTTTAATTCCACGAATAGGCTCCATGGCATAGCTATCTGGGTTAAAACATTCCTCCAACATAAAATACCGAATTTACATGCATTCGTTCAATCCGTGCGAATTTGAACCAGGGGTTGGAGGTTCAGCGGTGCCTGCACGTAAAAGTGTCCGGGTTTGGTGCATGAAAGCCGGGCAGACAAGCGCTGGCTGCCCGGGGAGCTCCAGAACACCGCCATCGTGTGGCGGCTAAGTGTAACCGCGACCACCCAGTAACAATCAATTAAGCTGCGGTTAACCGCAGCTACTGGGTGGTCAATTGTCGGCACACGCTCGTTAAGCCGCGGTTAACCGCGGCTTCAGGGAGGTAAATGGAGGGCGCACTCCAGCTTCTGGGTGGCCAATTAAGGTCGCCGGCCGGCTTCCCACGGCTCTGGGGAGGCTGAAAAGAGACTGTTTGTTTGGTAGATGGAATCTACCGAGCGGCTGTGCAGAAAGGGAGAAATAAATCCTTCTGCACAGTAAAATTAACCCTTTAGCTGCCGGTCCATAATCCAAAGGCAGCAGGCGGGCAACCAGGCTCCTCCAATGCAATGTGGCGAGATTGGTTTCGTCACATCTCTCAACTTTTCCAAACAGACTAACAGGGTATCTGACCTCCTGCCGGTCAGTGCCCTTGTTAGTCCAGCAGCCCACCCACAAAACATAATCAGCAGCACAGCCCACCCACAATAAATGGTTACTACACCTGGGTAAAGGAGAAGCTTGTCCATGTCCAGGTGCCTCACCACGGCTGTGCTGGGTACGGGTACGCTGACTTGGTGGGTTGCTGCGTGGGCAGAGACCAGCGGCACTCTGCCCTGTTGCCAACGCTACTGGGAGGGTAGCCTGGTGGAAGCCTGGTTGTTGGAGGGGGAGACCGACTGTCTCCCCTTTAAATACACCGCTCTGCTGCTGCTGCTGGAGACTGACTGTCTCCCCTTTAAATACACCGCTCTGCTGCTGCTGCTGGAGACTGACTGTCTCCCCTTTAGATGCACAGTCCTGCTGCTGGAGACCGACCGTCTCCCCTTTAGCTGCACAGTCCTGCTGCTGGAGACCGACCGTCTCCCCTTTGGTTACCCATCTCTGCTGCTGGAGGGGGAGACTGATTGTCGCCCCTTTGGCTAAACAGCCCTGTCGCTGGGGGGCAGGACCGACCGTCCCTACCCCCTGTGCTGGCAGTGTAGAGACTACGGTCCCATCTGCACGGTTGTGGGGCTTACTGTCTCCCCTTTGTACATTAAGCTGCAGCTGGGGAGAGGGGGTAACAAGCTCCTCTCCCATACAAACTTCCAGCTGTGGGGGAGGGAGACCGACTGTCTCTGCTCCCAATACAGAGTCCTGCTGCTGGGGGAAGGAGACTGGGCTCTCTATTCCCGGTAGGACACTCTGCCGCTGGGGAATGGAGACGGGGCTCCCAATTCCCAATGATCTGTGCTGCCGCTGGGGAATGGAGACTGGGCTCCCAATTCCCAAAGCATCATACTGCCGCTGGGGAATGGAGACTGGGCTCCCAATTCCCAAAAAATCACGCTGCCGCTGGGGAGGGAGGACACTGCTCCCCTCTCCCTGGACTTCCCACTGCCTTCCCGGCATATCACTTGGCTGCTGGGGGGCAGGAACAACTACCTCTGCCCACTGTAACTCAGCCTGCCGCTGGCAAATCCGCTTGGTCCCAAGTCTGGCATCCTCTGGGCGGCCACAGGGGTGGACAAGTCTGTTGTGGGGTACGGTTGGGGAGTATGTGAGTGTGTGGTGTTGCACCGTCGTGTGTATTAGAGTTGGTACATGTCCTGCGTCTATTTACGACGCCTGTATGGTCTCTGTAGTGCTGTAGGATAATGGACCATCGTCCCGGGTGTTTGACCGTGTGGCCCGGCCTGTAAGGGGGCTGGGTCTATTCCGGGAGTTGTGTGACCCCTGGCAGGTGGGGATTCCTGTGTCCTATGCCTGTGGTGGTGTCGGGCTTTCCGTCTGCGGCGGCTCAGTCCGCTTCGCGTCTATGTGTATTTGTTAGTACTATACGTAGTCCTTGGTCTGTTATCTCCTAAGTGGCTATGTACTCGGAGCGCTTGCTCCGTGCCTTTTTTTTTGTAGTGAGTATGGGTCTCTGAGTGCGTGGAGCGGCGGTCCGTGCCCGGGCTGCCTCTTTTGTCCGTTATCGGCTCATGTGTGTTGACTGGTTTGTTTGATGCCGGCTTGTGCGGGGCCTAGCTGTCTCATGAGGTGGGGATGCTTTGGCATGGGGTGCCTTGTGAGTCATATCAGGCCTGTGGGGTTCCTTCGTTTGGTTTGGGTGTAGCTGTGATTCACTAGCCCATGGCTTGTCACCTGTTGCCGCAAGGTATGGGACGTTGGTGGGGGTGTGATATGTCCGGGGGAGGGCCCCTATGTCACCAAGCTTCATTCGGTAGCTGTGTTGTCGTCAGATACTTGCCTTGTGCAGGCTGTAGAACCTGGATTGTTATCTGGTGCGCTGCTCTGGATCGACCTGGAGGCTGGTGTGAGTTAGTGTGTTTGGGTTTCTAGTGTGTGCCGAACATCGCGCGTTTATCTATGAACATCGTACAACGTGCCTTTCTGGCTCCTTGTTGTATTGTTCCTGCTTACGTCTAACTATTCGCTTTGTGTGACCGCTGTCCCTATGCATGCCTTTCCAGGTTCTCGTCCCCCAGATGTGGGCGTCGAATGTCCCTGGTGTGCGTGTGTGATCCTACATCGGCCTTTCTTGGCGGCTAGATGGAGCCCTGGCTTCCTTCACCTTGAGCTGTGTCGTGTCCCTTCGCCTGGGGGTTTTGACTGTGTTTGCTCCTTTGTTCCCTCCCTCCCTTTTTTTGTTGTGGTTGTTGTTGTACAAAGATACAGATTTTTGTCGTCACTGTCTTTGTGTATATTTATTTCTCTCCCTCCTCCCCCGACCTTTTAATATGGTTCCCTTCTCCCGTCCTTCTCTCTCCCTGTCGTTGTACTGCTGCTTGTTTTCTGTCTGTTCCCCCCCCCTACTCCCTGCTGTCCCCTCCCCCTGGTGCTCCCCCCCTTTTCCCCTTCCGCTTTCCTTTGTCTCTCCCCTCCCCTTCCCATCTCGTTCCGTGGTTTTCCATCTTACCCTTGCGGTTCATGTGGATCCAGTTTCTTAAAGAAGGGGGGAGTTTGATCTGATTTTTAGACCAATTTAGCCAGCACTTGATGGATCTTATACTCTACAATTACTGGGTGCAATAAGCTGTAGCTTTCTAGATTAAGAACTGAGATACATAGAGGAAGTGTATCAGAAATACAAAAATACGCATATAGTTTTAATTGCTACATTGCCACCGTAGAAACACTCTTTCAGTTCCATTAAAGATTGTATTAGCATGGACTTAACTACGTTCATTGACATATAATTTTGGTTACTTTTACTTTATTTCCAGCAAAAGAGTGGCATCCAAGGGCACCTACACGCACACCTTCTCTCTGCTTCCAATACTGGCCTACAATCGAGAGAAACGAGAAATAGCCCTGGATGGGAAACTCAAACATGAAGACACCAACCTGGCCTCCAGCACGCTGTGAGTGGGTATTAATGGAATTTATCGTACTGTGAGGTGGTAAATTCTATAGCATACATTTCAAAGGACAAGAACAGAGTTGTTCTAGAATAGATATGGCCTTCTTTCCATTAAAGAGGTAAGGCATAATATTTTAGAATGGGCATAGACTTCAAAAAATGGGTCATGGACACATACAGGGACAATGCCCTTCCATCATCCCAAAGTACCATGCCAATGGAGGGCAATATCAATTTCATTTAGTATTATTTAGAGGCCCTACATCCCAACCCACCAAGTACCATGCTTGGAAGCCAACTCCCCCGTCACTAATTATTCATAGCTACCCCCCCTCCAACATGCCATACATGAGAATACTCCACACCACTCCAACGTACCATGCATGAGAATACTCCACACCACTCCAACATACCATGCATGGGAATACTCCACACCAACTTACCATGATTGAGAATACTCCACACCACTCCAACATAATACCATGCATGGGAATACTCCACACTACTCCAACATACCATGATTGAGAATACTCCACACCACTCCAACATACCATGATTAAGAATACTCCACACCAATCCAACGTACCATGCATGGGAATACTCCACACCACTCCAACATATCATGCATAAGAATACTTCATATAACCCAAGAACTTCATCTAAATAAGTGCGCAATCACCTTCTCTTTTTTCAATTCCTGTTTGTAAATGTAAATGAGTGACTATACACTTAGGTGATTTTTCTGTATGCTGCACTATTTTGATTTGTGATATTATATTATACTCCACACCACTCCAACGTACCATGTATGAGAATGTTTATAGGCGGAGGGGCATATTTTTGAATTTAGTTAAAGTTGTTCATTATTTACACATGCTTGGCTTTTAGCAGTAAACTTGGGTATTGCCTGATTTTATGCAGCCAATCAGATTGATCAGAACTAGAGCAATGGTAATGAAAATGTGAATATAGGCGTTATATTGGACATGAAGGAGTTATTCTGAATTTGTTACATTGAATAAAATATTTTTTAAAAATTGTTCAGTAGATTTCAAAGTATGCAGTCTTCCATTATCTTAAGGTTGAGAACTTTTCACTTGTGCTCACAGTGTTTCAGAAATGTACGATACATCTATGTGCACCCAACTGCAGTAACTTATACATAGTCCTTCAGAGTCCGTTAAATATGGGTTTATGTGATCTAATCTAAGGGAGTCAGTGTACCAAGGTCAGACTTTTCTAGTGGAAATAAACATTAAATAAAATATATTTAACTTCTATGTTTCTCTCAACAGCTTGAAGGAGGGGATTGATCGTACTGTTATGGGAATCCTGGTAGATTACAAGGTTAAAGTCACTCTCACTGTTTCTGGGTAGGTTACAATTCTGTATGAGCTGTGAAAATGAATGATTCACTCCATGATTATGCAGCAATTGTTACAAAAAGAATCAGCATGCATGAGTTAATCTGAATTAATGCGCATTAACTCAGAGATTAAGATTTGCACCCCAATATGGTGTGACTGTAGGCAGCAAGTCGTACAATGTGTTCCTTATATATTATCCAATTAATCTACTTTTCACAGAATCATATTAAAATGTGCAATTATTGTTTTAAAAGAAATCTGTCTTAAAATATTTATAAATATATGTGGTATGTATGAAAAGATTTCATAGCAAAGATTTCTATATTCAATGTATGAGTAATTGCAGGAATCAAAGTAGGCAAATTCATTTTTTTTTTTAAATGACAATGTTTCTTTGTAGTTGAAGTTTAGTTTAATATAATTTTTTTTGTCATTAATGACAGCCTGCTGGGTGATATGACTTCCAGGTATGTTCTAAATCACTAAGGTTTATAGTAGCCAAACATCTGGCGGCATCAGATGTGGACTGATGTATTTAAATCTACTTCTTAAAAATTAATACTTCTTATAATCCCCAATACAACTTGAAAGAGGTACACCACAGTCATGGAAATAAGCTTAGTAGCTTGTCATAAAGGATTTTCCATTAGAAAGGCTACCTATACCATTATCACATTCGACTTGTTCCACGTACAGGGCAATCAGTGATACCCCTCATCAGAGCTGATTCCCCGCTAGATACAGTGAGCAGTTTGGATTGTCCCACTGTGGTTAAGTTACAAACTTGTTAAACCCTTTTCTGCTTATTTCATCATAGGATTGATAAATGTCTATTGCTCACCGTATCAAGAAATCATTTTAACATGTTATTTCTTCTCCACAGTGAGGTGTCTACAGAACTTCCTTTCATCCTTATGCATCCTAAGCCAGATGGAGGTAGTAAGCAAATGTTCTTTTCAAATACCCAGTATGGGCAAAATATGTCAATCTCTAAACTTTGTGTTTTACTATAATTTGACGTCTGCATGGTACTCTGGCCAAATAACAAACTGTTGGTAGTACACATATCAGGTCAGGAACCACCTAGGAGGTGTAGAAATCCCACTAATATTCCAACAGCCTATATACTCTGATTATCTTGCAAATATACTCATTGATACATGTACCAATTTATGATGCCCTGGCTTTGGGCATTATATAAGAATAGTTATGAAACAATTACAATCAATTTCTGACGAAAATGCAACATGTTTCCAACAATACTGACCTAAATACAGCAACTGTTTATAACATGGAAAAACAGTCTTCACATTTCCTATTCAATACAGTGGGGTGCAATAACAGTAGATCTATTTTCTTTCTTTAAACTGGGGCTGATCTACATTAGCCATCACAATACAATGACAGTATAATACAATTTTATTTAAAATACCGTGCATATATACAACTAAGGCATCATGATTTAAATTAATTATCCCCCAATATAACCCATAATTAATTACTGATTACATTTATGCTTATTTATAGAGATTCTGCTGCATATAGACATATGGAGTTAAAAAATTTCATTTTTCTTTTCCCCGTTACCTGCGCTGCGTTGGTATGATGACAGCTAAGGAAAGGTGAGAATTAAATGCAAATGGCAACAGTTTTGCCTTGTTTTGGTACACCTTACAAGCATGCCTCTTAGGGACTCAGATGCTTATATCCCTTTGTCTATATCTAGTAACTCTGAATTGGGTGTGTATAGCAGTATGATAGACATGCCCAGCTTTGAAATGACTGTGTGTTTGATGGTAACCCCAACAGTGAATAAGTCTATATTTTAAAACCTTTTAAAGATAACCTGTCACATTAGAAATTCTAAACAGTCCAGTAGCAAGCTAGGAATTATAATTTAATGTAATTCTATTAAAGGTAACACTTGTATTGTGCTATTTTTCAGTTCCTGTTAGCATATCACACCGTGACGTGTCCAAAGCAAAGATTTTTGCTGCCCTGGGCAAAAAATATTTTGCTGCCCCATATGCTTTGCTAATGGTGTGACATCACACAAACCATTCCCCCCCCTCTCTTACACTATGGTGAGACATAATGTTCCACCACACAATCTCACTGGCACACACACACAAGTTCATACTCACAAGCTATTACACATACAGGCTCACTACGCACAACTTCAGACACACAAAAGCTCACTACAAACAAGCTCACGTATGTGTGCACAGACAAGGTAACTACAGGCAAGTTCACAAACCTATAAATACACAATCTCACTGGCATGCATACATTCACTGACACTCTGCAGGCTGTTTAGAGAATAAACCCAAGTTTACCATTGTTTCAGAAAGTAGACTGCAGCTGCGTTCAAAGTGCAGTGAAGAGCCTACTAGAACAAATACTCTAGCCTACCACTTCTTTCCTTCATCCTTGATGCTTCCCTCTCACATGTATGTCCCCACACAGAGGGCAGGGAGCGGGAGCGCATGGACACTGTGCCCTCGCGCTGGCTAATGGAATGGGTCGGATGCAGTGTGGTGTGCACCCGGCGCCGGTGTCCAGAAGATAGAGATAGTGCAGCACTGTGTGAGTAACGACTGTGCGACGGCCATTGGCGCCTGGCTGCCATCCTGATCCCATCCTTCACTTTACTGGGTCTCAGGCCAGTTTTACCATCCATTACTGGTTATGCATGGGTGGTCCAGTCACCCAGACATTTTAGCCGCTGGCCCACCATGGGCAACCCCCCCAAGCGAACTGGGGGCCTAGGCCACTGCACACCCTGTACGGTGAATGTGTGTGTGTGAATTAACAGCATGAATGAAACATTGCTCAGGTACCTCAACCATGTAAATGTTTTAGTCTGGTAAAAATTTAAATGTCACCAACTACCTCCTATAGTAATACTGGTGTTAGTTACTGCCAAATGCAATATAGTTTTACAAGAACTAAACTTTTTATAACCGAGCACGCAGACTATACATTTCATTGAATAATGGGAGCAATGAGTAAAGTATAGGGATCATCATAGTTTCTAAGCTTGTTTTAGTAGAGCCTTCTTCAACTCTTCCCCTTTCCATAATTGTAAAGCACAGGGGAATATGTTACTACGAAGAATAAAAAAAGGAGGAGCTGTGAGGTAGTAACACATCTCAATGAGTAGTTGGGAATTACATAATTTACTCCAGTCCTATGCATTTCCTTCATTTTCCTTTGTTGAGCAGTGAGCAGGAAGAAGACATGGTTTTCGAAGATTTTGCCCGGGAAAATCTCAAGGATGAGTTGCAAACAGAAGACAAGGAGGAAGAGGACGATGATGAAAAATGAAATTGTGGAATTCCAGAGTTATGACGACAACTACCCAGAACCCCCTAGCATTCCATATCCGTGGACATCTGTTAAAGTGTGTCTGTGGAATACCAGCATTCCACTGATCATTCAAATGTTAACAATGGGTAGACTTCATTTAGAATAGATTGGCAATATTTAGTAAAGTGATAAATAACAGGTAAAGAAATATCTGGGTCAGTATTAAAGTATGTTTTAACAGACAATGTTTTTCTTTTATTACAAATGCATAAAATAAACAAACATTAGAATAAAAATTTCATCAATAAGGAACAACTTTGACCGTGCTGGCCGATTGGAAGCTGGAAGTATTAAGAGTAAATCTCTGCGTGTAGTTGTGAATAAAGTCTGCTCTGTTTGGAAAGCAGTGATTATTCCCCAAACATAGACCTGTGTTGCACTGTAGTTTTAAGGCTTAATTGCCGACATTCAAAAAGTTCCCAAATTATATTTTTTTCTCTTATCTCGGCTAATTTGGAATGACATGATTAATTGAATTGGGAATTGTGATGGGAAGTGGAGGGAGAGGGGGTTGTTTACATGTATTTAGATTTGCAGATTAAATGAGGCTGAATATTAAATCTATGCAGCAAGCCAGTATTTTTTGTAAAAAGGTGCATGCGTACTATAACTCGAGGATCTTACTTGTGACCGTGCAGTCAGGGGCATGGGTTGCCAGCGCACAGGGCCAGGCAAGTTTTGCGCCCTCTAATTTGTAGACCGTTTAGCACTCCCTGAGCCCCTTATTGGACAACTAGATAGGCTCATTGACACTGTGACACTGACTGTTGCATAATTTTTAAAATCCACCAATTAATGTGTATTGTCTATACAAATACTTTAGGTTTGAAGATAATTTTAGAAATTACACTACGCAACTATCAGTGTCACATCACGGAGGCAGGCAGGGAAGGAGCGGTAAGGCTATCTAGACTTCCACTACGGGAGTAACGCTATAATACCATTTAATACTCATTTACATAATACCTATTAATAGCGGGATTTAAAAAAAATTATTATTACTTTTTTTTTTCCCCCTCTTAAAATGTAGCACTCCTGAGAGTTTTGCAACCAGGGAAACTACCCTGTGGCCCCCTCCCATGCTACGCCACTGCATTTGGTGAAACAAGACAGCTTTCACTGAGTTTTAAACTTAAACTTCTCTATAGTGTAGAGTTTGGTTTGAATAGTTGAGAGCTAATCCGTAAATACATACAGAGAAAGCTTCTATCTTAAAGGAGGTCCACATCATAGAAGTGTTTGATGGAAGATTTGAAAACAAGAAAGGCACATTATTGGAGAGGTTTTGGAATGGTGCGCAGTTTTAAATATATATTATTATTATTATATGTGAGATAGGATTCTATATTAAACAAGTCATGTTTTTATGATAAATTCCGCCCATTCTTTAACAATGATCTTATTTAACATTGGAAAAAATGTCAATTTTCAGACAATTTGCTATTCACTGAAGGTACACCGTTTTATATCTAAGTTCTGGAGCACACATCTTACTACTCAGCACGTATGTCAGTCATTAAACTAGGATTTCATAGAAAAGTCATAATTTAATTTATTGCAGATATTAAATGTTTTTGAATTGGATGTTATTACACAGAATTTTTAAAAAGTCTTTGGCCAGCAGCTCCTGTTGCCCGGCCTAATCTCTCACTGAAGGACAGTTAGTTTAATCCTTGACATAAAGCTGTGGAGATAATGAAACATTAACAGCAGAAGCGATTATACAAAGACGTAAAATACCCACATAAATAGCCATCAGTAGATTTGCTTTAGCTGAAGTGTTAACCAACATAAGGAAGGCATTAGATATTTGGCTAGGAAGAGCAAAGATGGTCAGATTTCTAGAGAGCTACAACCAACGGACCCATATACCCACTTCAAGGTTTGAAAGTGCTCATTAAAAAAAAAAAACCAAGGACATTAAACCGGTTCTCACTTTAGGTGTTATACTGCAAGGAGGTATCTTGTCCAACTCTTTCAGCATCCAGCTGTATATAGCCAACTGCCCCTAATGCTCAAACCGCCTTGGTGGCGACCTTAGCGGACAATTATACCACTCGAAAAAAAGTTGACTAAAACACAGAACACTCGTGCTCCTTGTTCCATAACTACAATAAGCAGTTGTAGTTATGGCACTTCGAATGTCAATTTAATGACATTTTGGTGCTTTTAAAATCCTGTTTGACAGTTAAACAACAAAAACAAAATACTATGCACTGTCTATACCACATGCTGCTGGCAGGCAGAACTAACATGATGAAAAGCTTTAAACATTCCTGCTACATACAGTCTCTACATCTCCTACAAGGATCTGCACCATTCAGAGATACTGTGATTGTCATTTGAGAAATGCATCAAATGGTATCCTTAAAAGCCAGTGTGCACCTATGGACCAAATATTTACATCAATCTTTCTTCAGACCCGAGGGACAGTAAGACAATGTAATGTAAACAGCAAGCACAGAAAGTCTTATCGTCCAGGACTATGAGGTCTACCGTCAGAGGGTCAACAATGCACCAAATTTAGGATTTTTATCTTCTTCATCAAAGCAATCAACATTTGTATATTCCATTAGCAGAATAAACTAATTCTACATACGTGAGACGTTCTAGAATGTGTGAAAAAGTCACTTTGGGGTGGCCCTGTAAGGGATAGTGCCACTATAAATATAAAATGCTAAGGCTATCTAATTCAAGCTTCCTTCTGGGCCTCAGATTATTGCATTCCCTTCTTACCATTCATTGACAGGGACATTATACAGGAGGAACCAACATGTCAGCCATTCCAAGGTTAATACAGTCCTCAGCTGAGCATGCTGAGGATGTCTAGACAGGGAACAAATGATGGGTCAGAGTTGGACATCTATCAACTCAAACTCAACTTTCAAAATAAAATTGAAGAAATTGAGGCTGACTTTACAGTTATAGCCGAAATATGGTTTATTCAATGTTTCGGTTTTAAAACAGACACAACTACACTTATAGTACATACACATATAATACATACACATATACATTGGTCACAGACGTGTTGAAAAGTATTTACAGTAAAAGAAGTTAGAGTGGAGAAGTTGTAGGGATATTTTGTTCCACCAGGTCGTGTGGTTGGCATGGAGGTTTGAAGGTGGCTCAGATCGTTCCGGTTTCATTGAAGAATAAGTTCATTATACGGACACAGATGATTTATTTTAAGGGGATATCATCATCCACCTTTAAGGCACCCATGTGCCGGTTGGTGAGAAAGTCAAATAATGGAATACTGCAGATTGCTTGCTGGATATTAGACATAGTTATCTCTCGAGGCACTCTGTGTAAGAACAAGGGAATTAAAACAAAAGCAAATCTTAAAATAGCAATAAAACTACATAAACAAACACATGCATTTTTATAGTTATAAGTTAAAAACACTTTCGGGAGACAGATTTAGGTGTACTCTAACCCCATATAATTATATAAAATCAAATAGGACATTGAAAGTGGGCATACAAAAATGGTTTGAGAACAAGAAAATGCCCTATTTCAAAATGTAAAGGTGTGTGTGTGTGTGGTGGTGGGGTGTGTGTGTGTATATATATATATATATATATATATATATATATATATATATATATATATATATATATATATATATATATATATATATATATATATATATATATATATATATTTATTAAGGATAAAAATAGAATGTTGTTTACTTCATAAAGTTTTGCACTCATGATATCACATTAAATGGGGTACCTTTTTTTTTCTTCTGTAACCACTACAGTATGCTCTAGTGTTTTTGATTCTAGTAGTGCCCAGGTGTCATTTCAGGGCAAACACTCAAATAATTTGTGAATGGTCTAAAAACTTACCTGGGGGTTTGCCAGGTGCCAGTCACATTCACTGGTGCAGCCAGAAGGTAGTGTAGCGCTTAGTTCATAGGCTGAGAGTGATCACCTGACACTCTCAGCCAGTTGAGCCAGCCTTGCACCATAGGATGTAGCTCAAGGGAGCTAAAGTAAGATGTGAACAGCAGACCCCAGTTACGTTGTCAAACTGCTCGCAAGTTGTTTAAAGAGATTAACAACTCTGAAGTTTTAGTAATCAAAAGGGATCAAGGACTCTACAAAAACACATCCTACTGTAAAAATGTTAAAAAACTTTTTTGTAACACAGGTTTGTAAAATAACCTCTGCAGTGTAAATATGACATACCGATTGCGAGCACTCATTTGGTATCCAGCAGCTAAAGCGTCTCGCAGGACATCACTCACAAACTGCTCCGTAGCCTACACGAAAAGAACTGATGTTAATACAATTATACAAAATATTCCCAATTACTAGCATCAATATTTATTTGTATTGTAGTTTGTTCAGGAAGAAATAATGGATTTTTTTTATTTTTTTTTGAATTCTTTACTCTGGTTTAATCCGTAACAAGGTATCCCAAAAAATTACAATACGTGAAAATTTTAATTTTATTCAACCTAGGAATTCTTCACAATATATATTATATTTCACTGTGTTATTTCTACTTTGTGCATACAATCAGGGTCATTCATTAAAGTGAATTTTAGATTGGAGTCCAAAATAGCTAGATATATAATATATATACTTGGTGATAAAGGCTGAGAATAGACTCGAGTCTGTAAAGTTCATCCTTTCAAACATCCATATTACTGCCGTAAAACTTACAGAGACATCGGTTTGAAGAGAACTTACCTTTAAAATCATCTCTTCAACTGGAGAAGAGTAAACATTCTTTTGGACTTCGATTGGTTGCAATGAAATTCCAATCTAAGGTAGAAAAATAAACAGTCACTCATACGGCCACTAGGGGTGCAGCATGGACGTTCAGCATCTCCACCCTCTGCATGTAGGCGCTGAACTTGCCCCATAGAGATGCATTGAATCAATGCATCTCTATGAGGAGATGCAGATTGACCAACACATGTGCAATAGTCTCCTAATGTT